CCTTAATAAAATCAATGAGCAACTCCATTGACTTCTTTTAACAAACAGGTTGAAATTTATGCCATAAAAAGTATAAAAAATATATATTTTATGAGGTCTTCATTCATTTATAAGTCAAAATAAAATAAAATAAAAACCATCTAAACGTTGGGATTTTGTTGTTACTTGAGGGGCAAGAAAGGAGATGTGATGAGGAGTCGTAGCTTGCAAAAGAGATAAAAAAGAGAAACAAAAGGTATCACTAACTTGAGAATTATTACGTGCGGTCATCAGACGACATTCAGAGGCGAATCATGAAATGCTATGTTATTTTTTCGCTGTGTATTGATGCTGTGGACCATTATGTATCGGATGATATGGTGCATCTTGATTTGCCTATGGACCATGGAATGACCACACAGAATAATTTTATAACAACGACGACATAGACTACACATCATCGGAATAGATAAGAATATTTAATATCATATAATAAATAATTAATTATAAGATATTTATTTTATAATATATCTATGTAATGCTATTATGATGATGATGATGATGATGATGACATAATGTAAAATTGAGGGTTGGAATCCAATCCCTATCAAAGTTGGAACACTTTTAAAGCTTTGGTATAAATAAAGATTAGGAAGATACTCTGCTTATAAAATGATATCGAATGACTCGTCAACTACTTTGTTGAAATCATGGCCCTGCTAAACAATTACTTAGCAACTAATCAAGTCATTATTACAAGTCAGATAATTTTAACTCACTCGGAATTAGTATTTTGACTTTAAATTGTTTTATGCGGCTCACATTAGTTTGTTAGTTGGGAGTTTTGACTATTAATCAAGATGTTTTGAATTTGAGTCTTACGTATATGATGTGTGTGTGAGTAGGGGTGTTAATTTCGGGTCACGGGTCGGGTTAGGGTCGAACCCGAAATTGATCCGGCACTATTCGGGTCAACCTGAACCTAACCCGTTTCTGCAAACGGATCGGTTTTTCGGACCCGAACCCGATCCGCTTTTGGTCCGGGTCAACCGACCCGACCCAAATGACCTGGGTCAGACAAAAAACTGCTAGTTTACGGGTCCAAAAATGGGTCAAACTACGCTTTTCGGGTAAAACACTGGTAAAAAAAGGGTCAATCTTGGGTTGTCGAGTCAAAACTGGTCAATTTCGGGCCAACGGGTCAACCCTAACCCGATTTTGAACCGGATCCGTTTCGGGTTCGAGCAAACCCAAAACTGAAATTTTCGGGTTGGGTTCGGATCGGGTCCAATATTGACACAACTATGTGTGAGTTTATCTTGATTGACCAAGATTTCGAACTATGCTTGAGCTAGCACATTTTATAGTTTCACCCAGCTGCCAATTATCTTACAATTGTTCTTGCTATCACCTAATCTCCCCACTTATTAGAAGAATGATCAAATTTGATCTTCCTCAATCGCACACTTATTTATGTTCATCTAATACTTATTGTTGGATGAATGCTTTAACTTCTCAAGAGTTTTCAACTATTCACATCTTTTTCATTGTATTAACTACTCTAGCTAGTTGCCGGAAAATATATATATATATATTCTTTAACTCTTCAATGATATTAGGGCTGCAAGTGAAGCGAGTCGAGCTATATAGGTGTTTGTTCGTATGTGAACTTATTTATTATCAGTTTGTTCGAGCTCGGTGCGAGCTTTTTTTGTTTATGCTCAAGATTAGTTCATTCAAAATGATAGATATTCAAGTTTGATTTATATTTGGCCAAAGTTCGGTTCATATCATACTTATTGAGCTTTAAACAAATAGCACGTTTAAAATAATAAATAAGACTTATTGAACTATTAAGTCGTGTTACTTGCGAGATGTACATTAACTTAACAAACGAGTATTATCGATCATAATTGATATATAATCAAATCAAGTTACGAGTATTATTGATCATAATTGATATATAATCAAATCAAGTTACGAATAGTTTGTCGAACACTCTATTCGTTTACATCCTTAAATAAAATTGATTGAATTAAATAAAATTCTATTATTTTCTCTCTTTAAGATTTTTCATATAAAGAACTCTAATATCTTATATATGTTACTTTAATTTATCTCTATTTGTATGAACATTTTATAATAACGTTAGATATTAAATTATCTTTATTGTCAGAACATTATGCGCATGCAACAATCCTAAAATTAATCTAACAAAAAATAAGTTTTTTTTTTATCCTAAGCATTAAAATGGAAAAAGTAATTATAAATTGTTAAATAATTATTTTATTTTATAAAATGCGTCTCAGGCTTCATTTGGACAACTTTCTTATTGTTTTGATTTTTAGACCGCAACTACAATTTTTATTTGACCGTTATTTTTTTTTTACAATTTTAAATAAACTTTTATGTTAGGAAGGTGTTTTGTATAGTAGCTTAAAAAAAACTTATTTTTATAGTAATTTTAAAAAATTGCTTTCTCCACATCAATTTGATAACCACCTTTATTAAAAAAAAAAATACAGTCGTCCCAAATGGGCATTATTATTCACTTTATGATGGATTATGGGTAGATAATATCATAAACCTTATTATTATTCATAAATAAAATTAATATACTTTAAACATTTCATATTGTATACAAAGTAATATTATTTACGAAAATATAGCGCACATTAACATTCTTTTATATAGCATAAAAATAATAGTGAAAATCAGTTATTTTGAAGGGAAAGAATAGTGTTTTACCTTATGAAAAAAAATTAGATAAATATATTCTAATTTAAATTTAATCATAACAAAATTTAAGAAAATTTATATACATATCACAAATTGTAGGTCATCCCTTTAAGAATCAGCCTTAATCATATTAGTCTTATTTCCAAAAATCAATTTAATATCAAATATCACAAGGCAAGTGGCTTTCATATAAGAAGTCATTACCTCTTGTTTGTCGGTGTATCATGTCATATTAGTCAATCTCTTTATATCTCTTTTTTCATCTCATTTAGAATTATACCATAATCTTTATTCAAAGGAAAGCCTATAGACCCAACCTCTTATTATAACCCCCCAAGATCTAAAATTGAAAGAATTGCATCTTTTTAACATTTTAACATTGACGAGTGCTAACAATTTTTTATAAACATCAAAAAATAAAATATATTTTTGTTCAACCAATATTTACACGTTGATTCAAGCCCAAAATAATATATATAATAGCGCCGATATTCAATGGGCGGTCAATATATTTTGTCATTCCTAGACCCATCATTTACAAAATAGATATATATATATACATATATATCATTTCATATAAATTAGTACACCTATCATTATCTTATGTATGTGTCTACATCATGCATGTATATCATGTCCTATATCCAATGCCAATACAATATCATGTATATAATATAATTTCGTATGTATCATATGTTAGTACATCATATAAATCATGCAATTCATAACATGTGATTTAGATATATTGTATTCCCTTGTATCAGTCTTATTATATACATATATTCTTCATATCTTATATCATGTATATATCATGTCAATTTATCATATATGATCATGTTATATGTATATGTAAGCAATGTATATAAGATAAGAAATCTGATTACTTGTGCTATGTTTTTTATATCCAATCTATTAGGTCATTCCTCTAAGAATCAGTCTTTATCATATTAGTCTTATTTCCAAAAATCAATTTAATATCACATATCATAAGGCAAGTAGCTTTCATATAAGAAGTAATTACCTTTTGTTTGTCGGTGTATCATGTCATATTAGTCAATCTCTTTATATCTCTTTTTTCATATCATTTGGAATTATACCATAAACTTTATTCAAAGGAAAGCCTATAGACCCAACCTCTTATAGTCTTATTATAACCCCCCAAGATCTAAAATTGAAAGAATTGCATCTTTTTAACATTTTAACATTGACGAGTACTAACAATTTTTTATAAACATCAAAAAATAAAATATATTTCTGTTCAACCAATATTTACACATTGATTCATGCCCAAAATAATATATATAATAGCGCCGATATTCAATGGGCGCTGGACGCTGGGAGTCGTATAAGTGTAACTTCTTATGTGCTATTATAATTTTCACCCAGGTGACTTTTATATTATCTTAAAAATTAGAAAGACTGAAAGAGCATATTAGTAGAATAACTGATTAGAACGGATATTAAGTTAATATAAATTGTCACCTTGGATGGTAATTTTTTAGCAATGATGAATGATTTCATTATGAAATTAATGATCTGGAGGGTTTAATCTGAGCAGAGCAATATATTTTTATTACATAATACATATTATAGTTTGCAATCTCTATATTTTGTTTTATTACAGTCTTGCAGGTCATTGCAGTCTTGCATATTTGAAGGCATGAAGCTGTTATTTCAAGGAGCATTTCAATTAGATTTATTATAAACTAGTAATTGTAATTTGTAAATTTGCAATTTTGAGATGCATTTCAATTAGATTTATTGTAATTTGTAAACTAGTCTTTTGTAGGAAAATTGAGAAATGAGAATTGATATTATTGTAAATGAGTTGAGTTTGTAATTTATTTATTTAATTAAATTTTTTACTTATTGTTTAATTGTATTTATTTTTTAAATTTACATTTGTTGTTTTGCTGAAATAATAAAAAAATTTCCTGTACACGATGCTTATCTGGTCGGGTCGGGTTGACCCGAACCAGAGACGGGTCGGTTCCGAGTTGTGGAAACCGACCAGTTTATAAGAACGGGTCGGGTTGACCCGAACTCGAAATAAGTCAGGTTATTCCCGGGTCAGACCCGAACCTGACCCGTAACCCGGAATTGACAGCCCTAGTTGGAATATCTTGATCAAATTATGATGATTTTTTATTTTTATTTTTTAGATATATTTTGATATTAAATATAACAAAATTTGTAATTTATTAATAAATTGTTATAGATGGAGGATTTACATGTTCAGTAATTATAAATAAATAAATAAAAAACACGCCTTCGGCGTTAAAATCAAGCTGGGATTCAAAGCAAAGATATGCGGCAATGACCGGCCACCCTCCTGCACCACCACCACCTGATCTCTTGGCCGTTATTCGACCCCCCGCCTTCCAGATAATGACTTGCTCTTCTCCGATGGCACCCCCTTACCTTCCCTCTCTTCGCTTCAAAGCTTCCAAATCCACCTCCATTCGCAACCTTCCTTCTTATCGCGCTTCTCCCCTGTTTTTCCCTTTCCGGCATGGCCGCCATCTCTGAGAGTGACCATTTATCATTCCAAGTAACTTTCTTTCATCTCTCTCTTCATAGTTATTTAGCAAATGGGAAAAGTTGTCATTTTTATTGGAGTAATTAGTTATGGTATTTGTAGGTTGGCTTTTTGGAAGCCTTGAAATGATGTTATTTTGTGATTGTAGAACTTTAGAAAGTTAGGAGAAAAGTGCTTTTGTTGTCACGTTTGGTGTTAAATTGAAGTGAATAGGAGAAAATGATCTGTTTTTTTTAAGTTGTGCTTAGAGTCTTTCAATTGATAGCTATATTTTTACAGAGAATGAAGACAGAAAGTGTGAAGCAGAGAAGACGAGAGCTTGAAGAAGAGGTATCCTCAACATTTTTCTTTTTATTTCTATTTAATTTTGATAGATCCTAAGCTTGTAATTCATGCTAGGGTTATGATATTTTGGCCATATTGTCCGGGCCAGCCAAATAGGAACAAGTGGGTAGCGTATATGGGTGTGTTCAAGAATTTGAAATTAAATTTACTCTTAAGTCCAAAGAAAAAACAAGTGGAACTCACTTGCTTATTTATAAAATTGTGATCCGGCCATATTCAGTCACAAAAAACACATTTCCCATTAGTGCCTCCTAGTCTGGTTTCTTTTTTTGTATCGGGATATCTACCCACTGTCACCCTCAAAAGAGGGTTTGACGGCGTGACTAATCCTCGGCTGACTTAGAAGAGACACCCACCCTATAAACCTTCTTTCCCGTACTTGATTGGGCCTAATTTAAGAGGCGTTGCCGCTCGAGGGGAATCGAACACGGGTTGGTGGTTCTCAACCGTACTCGCCCACCAACCAAGCTAGTGGTCAGTCTGGTTTCTAGAAATCTGAGAAGTTGTTGCAAAGATTTTGTGCCTTGGTGGCACTCACTAATCCCAATTCTTCAACCCCATAATGAAAGAGAAGAGTATCGGGATCATTTTTTCTATTGTTGTTGTTATTATTACTGTGATTGTTGTCCTTAGCTTTATCATGCTTTTGTGCTTAAGCTAAACATAGAGGATTAGTTTCTCTTGTCTATATTCATGGAAATTTTCTTTTTCTTAATTGGAAAATAGAGAATGGAAATTTTCTTTATCTTCTTTGGAAAAACATAATTAATGTTTTCTTTATGGAAATTTTCTATATTATACATTGACAGGTAAGAAAGCTTCAAAAAATGCTTACTGATGAGCAAAAAGTGCATGAAATTTTGCAACGTGCACAGCTTCCAAATTGCATTCCATCTACCATCCATTTTCCTAACTTTCTACCAAAAGAGGTGAGCATGTTTCTGCTCTGAAGCAGTTTAGTTAACATATTTCATATAAGTTGGATGTAGTGCTTTAAGCTGCCACTAAAGTATGTATGATCATTAAAATGTTAAGTATTGAATAAGTGGATTTATGATGTAATGGTGGCAGTCACCGGCTAAATGGCAATAGTGGCCTGCAAGGTGATGATGACAATGGTGACGATGACCAGTGGTAGCAAATTAGTTGTGATAGTTGTGAGAGATTATTGTGTGCGGATACCGGACAGGAGAGAACTATCCGGATTTCTCTCTGTCTATAGTAAATGCTCAGTCAAAACGTAGTTACTGTAGCAGCTGTACTTTTACTGTGCTTTTACTGTAGACAGAGAGAAATTTGCACGGTTCTCTCCGTCCGGTGTCCGCACACAATAAAAAGTAGATAGTTGTTTTTAAAAATATGTACTACGCCCAAAATTATGGAATGTTTTTAAGAATAAATTGATTTTTTTAAAATAAAAAATGAAAATAGTTTTGAAAACATTCAAAACAAACTTGCTTTATAAAAAAAAAAAAAATTGAAGTGATCCCAAACATGCTGTGACCTAATGGTTAAGGGGCCACTACTGGTATGTTATGAACTTAAAATCATATTTTTATTATAGACGTGGGACTATTTTAGTGTCTTGTTTATCTCAACAATCTCCCCATTAAATGAGAGTTTTCTATGTCAGACCCTTAACCGTGATGCTTTAGTTTGTTCCAAAAAGACTACGAAGCAAGTAACGTGATAGGACAGACACCATTACTCTTTTACAGTCTCGAATCAATTCCATATTATTTTCCTATCATTCTGCAGACTGGTTCTCTCCAATTGCGTGCAAATTTCTTGTTAATTTCTTGATTTATTCCTTCAAGTAAAAGGTTTTTCAAACTTCATCAAGCATAAGAAATGACTTTCTTTTTCTCAATGATCAAATAGCTAAAAATGAGTTTCTGCTAACAGGTAAGTTTTTAACTCGACTCATTAAGCTCCAAACACTTTTGAGTGTTTCCTTCATTGTAAAAAGTAGCTCCATGTACTTTAAAGTGCGAAATAGTACACTTAGGCTGCGTTTGTGATGACTTTCTTATTGCTTCTCAAAGCAGCTTTCAAGTATAAAAATTAAAAAATTTTAATTAGAAAACTGCTTTAAGAAGCAGTAAGAAGACCGTGCCAAACGAAGCCTTGGGATAACTTTCTAAAAAATAGATTTGGAAAGTAGTAAAAAAGACGAAGCCTTAAAGTCATTTTATCACTTTGAAGTAACAGTAATAACAAATTTCACTTCTTTAGCATTTTTCTGATGCAATTATGAATTTAGTTTTTTAAGTATTGAAAAAGCTGTGCAACAAATAAACCTGTTTAGAGTGGTGGTCTTCAGGCAAAGGAGCTCTTAGCAGAACTTATCGTGCTTGAAGAAGAGATAGCTCGGCTAGAAGGTGAAATAAGTAAAATTCAACATAGTATAAGCAGTACAGAGGAATCACGGGTTCAAGATTCAAAAAGGTACAATCAATACATGCATGAAAGCACAGGTTTGATTGCATCTTCCAATCATCCATCAACTTCTCCTACGCAAATACCAAAGAGTAATTTGTTTGAGGAGAAGGCGGCATTTGAAAGGAAACCCATGTTCATGTTCTTCATAAATCAAGCAATAAAAGGAGCCTGCTTTAACGATGGTTTTGCTAGCAATGGAGGCTCATTAGAGATAGCTAGCAAGATGGAAGGGCAAAAAATGGCAAACAATCGAGAGAGAATTCCAAGGAAAAGTGAGATAATTGAGCAGCAGCACTCACAAAAGAAGCCCCCAAGGCATCCATCTCCTAGAGTGAGTTATATTTTTTTTCTTAAGAAAAAAAAGAGAAAATCTTTCTGTAGATTCTCTTTTGACATCACTAAATTGCTTTGCTTCCTATAATTTTGGTACTGAAATATCTTAACTATAAGTTCATTTTAATAGGTCAAAGTGAAAGTTTATAATTGAATTGCTTAAGCAATTTATATTATCATTAACTATCACTCATCAGTTTTAGCATTCTGCTATTGCCAGTAGATCTCAGACATCTTGCAATCAGCTAGATACATATATCTAAAATCTTTCTGAGGATACCAATTGCACACTACATACATAAAATGAAAATGTTATTGAATTTTTAATTTTTATCCAAATACTTGTGAGGTGATTGATTCCTCCTGGCTTTTTTCATCCAGAAGTCAGATTCTAACGTTGATATTTTTCACAAACTGCTACATGAAACCACTTTGAGTTCGAGCCCATTGGACAAAAATGGCCAGAAATGGCAACCCAACAAGTTATCAGAGGAAATTTTGAGATGTCTTATATGCATTTTCTTGAGGCTGATGAGAACATCACGTCCAATGGAGCTTGAAAAGTTAAACAACATATCAAGATCCAGCAACTTGATTTCAAGAACAAAGAGCTCTAGAATGGTCAGCAGCTTAAATTTAAACTCAAGACCCAACATACACAGACAGACAGTTCAAAAGGATCCATATGGAATATTTCAGGTACAAGGTTCCTTGGTAAGAGATATTGGTCCTTACAAGAACCTTGTTAGGTTTGCTTCAAGTTCCCTGGAACTGAAAGGCATTTTTAATTGTCTTCCCCTGCTAAACAAACTAAGGTTAGTAAGGTCACTGAGGATTCATTCTTGATCGAGTAGGATTTTATAACATAAGATTTTTGCTTTGTTTGGGATTGCTTTTTTGCTACTTTTTAAAACAGCTTTCTAATACAAAAATTAAAATTTTTGTATTAAAAAGCCGCTTTAAGAAGCAATAAAAAGCCATCCCAAACAAAACCTTTATTGATGGCTGAATGTAACTTGTTGAAAAGGTTTATTTATTTCATATTTAATCCCTTCTTATGTCAGGAATCTGATGAGCAATTTGCATGAGGTGAACCTCAAATCGCTAACTCACCAGCAGAAGTTGGCCTTCTGGATCAATATTCATAATATTTGTCTCATGCATGTACTGTATGATAACAATTTTTTTCATTTCTAGTTTTTTTCGTTTACATGATTTAGGTTTCATTTGGGCGACTTTCTTGCTGCTTCTTAAAGCAACTTTTTAGTATAAAATTTAAATTTTTTAACTAAGAAGCTACTTTAAAAAGCAATAAAAAAGCCATCCCAAATAAAGCCTTAAGCTTTTTGATAGTTTCTAATCTGAACTATTGAGACTTGTCAGGGCTTTCTGGAGCATGGCTTGCCTTCAAATCCTGAAAAAATTCTTGGCTTAAGAAATAAGGTGATGAATCACCTTGTTTAGCTAAAAGTTCCTATTGTTTACTACTCTAATCATTTACACATACTTTATGTTAATGTAGGCTGTACTTAACATAGGCGGCAATATGTTAAATGCCTTAACAATTGAGAATTTTATTCTAAAGCAGCCATCAAATACAAAAGATGTGAGTTCATTGCCAGTAATTACTGTTTCTTCTAGTTTATTTTCTATCATTGCAGTTAAAATTATTCTCCAGCTTTCCTTACAGGCTCACTGGAAGAGTGATAAAGATGTCAAAGAAGATGCAATCAGAATTATGTATGGCTTGGAGCTGGCAGAACCAAATGTTCAATTTGCTTTATGTTTTGGAAACAGATCTTCTCCAGCTGTTAGTATTCCAAATTTCTATCAGTTCCTAGTTATTTTTTATGCAAGAAAATACATGAAGAAGCTGTGAACTTTTTGTTCAGGTGAAGATTTACACATCTGATGGTGTTTCAGCTGAGCTAGAGAAATCCAAACTTGAATACTTTCAGGCTTCGATTGTGGTGACCACCTCTAGAAGGATAATGATCCCAAAGCTTTTATTTTCAAACATGTCTGAGGATTTGGAGTCATTGCTGGAGTGGATTTGCAATCAATTGCCCACTTCAGGGACTTTGAGGAAATCTATTACTGATTTTATTAGAGGCCAGAGCAATGGGAAGATATCAGATATTGTGGATATATTGCCTTGGGACTTTGAGTTCCAATACTTGCTGCCTATCTAAGTTTGTAGATCTGTTTTTCTTTCTTTTTTTTTTCCTTGCTATTTTTTTGTTGAGAAAGTGATATAGTGTGATATATGAAGCTATAGGAGAAATAGATAGTTGAAGCATTTTTCTCCCATATTTTGGTTGGGGAGGGCAAATTTTTTTGCGTATTTGTGGAATATTTCAAGTGCATTGTAAAAGCAATGATGTTGGTCTTAACAGATTCTATCTTAAGTGCTAACAGTTTGTCATATTCATTGGGAGATGTTATTGTAGCTTGAATGATGTTAGTCTATTGTGACTTGTTCAAGTGATGAGTTTTAGCATCGTTTGAAATGATTTTCTTATTGCTTCTTAAAAAAATTTTATAGTACAAAAAGATTAATTTTAATACTAAAAAGCTGCTTTAAAAGAGATAAAAAAGTTGTCCTAAATGAAACTTTGATGTGTTGAAGGCGTCTAATATATAATACTTTTATCTGCTTAAGCTTCTTGTCAATTGTATTTTTCATATTTTTATACGGATGAAACTTTCTCATCAATATGTTTCGGGATTTTGAAATTATATTTCAATTCAAATTAATTATTTTTTTGGGAGATAAAATAGAAGAATTAGTGTTTTTTTTTTTTTGTTCTTTGATTTAAAAAACAGTTTGAGTTGATTTGAAAATATATTTTAGCTTTTTTATTTGTTTTCAAAGTAATATTTTGGATTTCAACAATTAAGGCTTTGTTTAGAATAGTCTTCTTATTATTTTCTGAAGTAGTATTTTAAAACAAATTTTAGCTCAAGAAATTTTTTGTATAAAAAAATTATTGTAGAAAGCAGTAAGAAAATTGTCCCAAATGAAGCTTAAGATTTAAAATTGCATCAAATGAAAACATGTAAAGTACTTAACAAATAGATGAAACAATAAAGTTGTAATATGTAAAGTTAATAAATTTATATAAATTAAATCAAATTAAAAGTTAATAAATCAATCATAAGATTGAGAGTTGTTAATTTGGTTGTCACTTAAGTGGACTTAAGGTACTTTAAGTTCTAAATTGTGCATTTCTTTGTCCCTATCTTGGAAGTTAAGCACCTCTTTTATTCCAAGTGCTCTTATGCTTTATTTTAGTTAAGCTCATTAAAACTCTAGATTAAAAGTTCAAAGACTTTCCTTCATTATGATAAACACAAAGTAACCATATATAATTAACTTGATATTAAGAAACAATTAATTTTTAAGATTAATTAATATTTTTTTAAGGTAACTAAGGTTATATTAATCATTTTCATTATTATTATTGCGATTCTTAAAATGAGGTGTTTTTGCCTTGTGCTTGATCTTGACATCAACCCATAATGATCAAAGTCGAATCATGAGATTATTAATGAAGTAAATTCAATGAAACAACAATTAGTATTGTACGTAGAGAATTGCGGCCATAAATTGGAAAGTCTTAACCAATTCGAGAGATCATTCGATGTAGTTGAAATAATAAAATCTCATGATAAAAAATATGAATTATGTTTAATAACATGCATTACCAAAATAATCATGATTATTGTTGCATCCTGGAGTATTCACGGCGGTAGAGAAATATATAGTTTAACGTCTTAGCATTGTACAAAAATCCAACACACAATCAAATAAGAGAGAGGGTGTAGCATTCATAAGAGACACCAGAATTTTTACGTGAAAACCCCTAAAAAGGGGGAAAAACCACGAGACTTGGCCCAGTTTGAATGAATCAACTAGTATTGCAGTTGATTACAAATGAGGCCCTTCCTTGGAGGAAGGCCTTAACTTAATGTGCATCTTATATAGTACATTACATTATGAGAATACAAAGAATCCTAGTTGATGTGTTTGTTTGGTCGGAAGGATCGTAGTCGGCAGGCGATGTTGGACAATTGTCGGCTTGCACGGAGGTCGGAAGGACTGTAATCGGCCGGCAACGAAGATCGGAAGGACTATAGTCGATGAGCGACATAAGTTAGAAGGATCATAGTCGGTGGATGACGGAGGTCGGAAGGACTGTAATCAGTGGGCGACGTAAGTCGGAAGAACCATAGTCGACAGACGACGGAGGGACTGTAGTCGGTGGGCGACGTAAGTCGAAAGAACCATAGTCGGCAAGCGACAGAGGTCGGAGGGACTGTAGTCGATGGATGACATAAGTCGGAAGGACCGTAGTGTCACGACCCGACCCGATCCGGGACGGATCCCGCTCGCACCGGGCCGCGACAAAACCTTTATATCCAGGATCTGGCTTTGGAATTTGGTTCCGACTGTAGTCGGTGGCCAACTTAAGTTAAAAGAACCACAGTCGGCTGGCGACGGAGGTTAGAAGGATTGTAGTTGGTGGGCGACATAAGTCAGAAAGAGCGTAGTCGGGGGGCGATGGAGGTTGGAAGGACTGTTGTCTGATGACGAAGGTCAGAAGGATGGCATCAGGTATAAATTCGGCAATGTACAGAAATCCAGCATATGATAGATGTTTAGCAAAAGTCCGACAACAAGCAGAAGTCTGGTGTATGGTAGAAACTTGGCGATGAGCAGAGGTCTAGTGTCAGATAAAAGTCCAACGTCAATTGGCGGCCGAGGAGAACTCCGGCATTAGATGGTATTAGGGCAGAACTTTGGCGTCACTTGGAGTTTGGGTGAAACTCCGGCGTCACTTAGAGGTCGGGCAGATTTTCGACGTCACTTGGAGGTCGGACGGAATTCCGGCGTCATTTGGAGTTCAGGTGAAACTTCGGCGTCACTTGGAGGTCGGGCGGAATTCCATCGTCTCATGGAAGTCAGGCAGAATTCCAGCATCCGTGGAAGTCGGATAGAATTCCGGCGTCACGTGTGGCAGAATTCGGGCGGTGGTCGAGGAGGAGTTTCTTCCCTCCTATCCTTCTTATCTTTTCTTCTCCTTCTTCTCTTCTTCTTCTTGTTTGGGTCCCCTCTCAAGAGAAATAAGGGGCTATTATAGTTTTTTTAGGATGGCATGACTGGTAAATAGGAGGATCAAGGGCAAATGTAGAATGGTTTGGATGGACGGCCAATATTGAATCCTTTGATCATGGATCGTTCGTCAGACATTTGAAGGTCTTAATGATATTGGAATTTGGCGATCGGGCTTGTTGGATTCGCTTGTCGAGTTTCTCGATTCGACTATAAGCATGCCATATTTGGAAACTGTTTGGTAATCCAAATTATGGATTGAACCTTCCGAATGTGCTTCGGGTCTTCGATTTGGATCCATTTGGGCTTGAATCGAGTTGAATTTGGTGTCGTTGGGTTCATATTTATGATACGATCAGTTCGACTGTAAGTTTGCTGAAATCAGAGTTCAGATGATCCCATATTTAATTTTTGAAGTTTCTAACTTAATTTTTTTGCCTCGAGATTCTTGCCCGATCAAGATAATTTTTTGATGATATATCAATTATAAAATAAGAGATAATTGATTAAATACTTTTTAAAATAAAATAATTTAACAAATTAAATATATATTAAACTTAATAAATTAATTTAAATTTAAATTTAGTTATAAATTTTTATAATAATCATTTTCCAAATAAATACTGGTCAAACATTTTTATATGACCCACCATCCCCATGTGTTTTTTTGTTCATGTGTACTAAAAAAAAATTATAAATAATACTTTATTAAATTTATAAACTTATATGTGAACTAATTTTATATTAAATATGAATTAAACTTAATGATCGAATATATTTAAATTTAAATTTATTATATATATATTATTTAGACATAAATTTTATTTATTTTATTATATTAAAATTTTATTATTAAATAATATTAAATAATTATTATATTATTTAATAATTTTAATATTTATTAAATCACAACGAAATCTTTAAACTTTTATTTATGATCAGATTTTTACAATGGTGAGAAAAAATATAATCATAAATGGGCCATTTATTTTTTTGAAGCCAAATAAAATAAATTAAATTTAAATTAAATTGAAGGTCAGACCAGGTCACCTTTTAAAGCATTACTCAGCCGCACCTATCAGGACAAAAAAGACAAAGAGGAAGCCGTTCCTCTCACCCGCGGCACTACTTCTTAATATTTCACATATCGTACCAACGAATCAGCATACTCCCCAATCGTACTCCTCCGTATTTGTCTTCATTTTTAACTTGTTCCGGCGGACCACGGGAACGCGGTTCCCGCCGCTTCAGGCATACGTATAACGGCGTGACGGCGTCCCCGCCACGCGGTCTACGAGAAAGCGATAACCGTCCACGTCCCACTCGCAACGCTGATTCGGACCCCATGCCAGAAATTCCAATCCAGTTTTCCCACTCTCCTGGCGTCCGCTTCAGCTACAAAGCAGAAGGTTCCTCCGCTCGCTGGCATCGTATTCCTCCTTTTCTTTTCGTCTTCCCTCCGCTGCTTTTGGAGGTAGCTCGCCGGAGTGTTTTTGCGGCTTAAGGTACGTCTTGCTTTTATTCTTCTCGCAGTTATTCGGCTTCTTGTTGAATTTAAGATTCTCTGGGCTATTTGTATGCCAGCTTGGCTTTTTTCTGCCTGCTCTTTTGAATAGTGTGGAGAAGTCCAAGCTCTCGGCCCTCTTTTCGTCTCTCACTCTCTTCTTCTTCTTATTCATTGTAATTATCTTGTTCTTTCATAAACCGGGTATAAGAATGCTTAATCAATCCTCGTTTTGACAAGCATTCGTCATTTTAATGCTATTATTGTTGCTCTTCTTTCCAATTGGAGTGAAGATGAATGCTGGAGGTTGATTAGGATCACGGTGTGGGTTTGTAGTATGTTATGTTGCTATTTTTGTGGGCGATACTGTGAATGAGGATTTGATTCATGTTAACGTTTAGTTTGTACGGTGAGAACATTGATTTGGATTTGTTAAGTCCGTTATTTTCTGTTGATCGATTTTTGCATCGCTATATTCAAGAAATATGTGCGAGTTAATTGTTGTTTAAAGTTGACAAATCTTGGTCTATGAAGTTCTAGATTAACATTGGCAATGCCGTGCAATAGTAACTCCGTCAATGCCGTCGAGTAAAATTTTTGGTCTTTTATTTTTCTGTTTATGATTGTTAATTGTTGAACAGATTAGGTTATTGCTTGAGCGTGTCTTATTTTGCGCCTTACCTTGTAATCATTTTTTTTTCTAGCGTGTGACATTTTTGTTTGGGTAATGTTGGAAATTGGCCTCGCTGAGAGCAAAGACTCATCACTCGAATCCGCTTTGGGGGACAATTGTGTAAATTCAATCAACGATGTGAACCAGACATTGTACAATCTTATTCCGGTAAGTTTCAATTTAACGGCAACAGATGAGAGAAATCTTGCTTTAAGAAACATTTGTTCTTTTGGTGAAGTTATTATTGTTTACATTGCCATCTCATTATGGGAAAACATTAAAAGAAAAAAATGGTCAATTAGCTATGGGCCCAAAAGAAGAGTGCAGCTGCAAATCCCTGATCAAGCCCTTTTCATCATTATGAGAGTTGTTTTGTGATTGTTCTAAGATTATTAGCTTTCCTGATTTTGCTATTTCAGAATTGATTTGTTCCTTAAACAATCAATAAAAAAGCTATTGCATTTTAGTCATATTATGGTCCTATTTACTATGTTGTTTCTTGGTTTTCACTTTTGTTGCTGTTGTTGGGTCCTACTATTTTTAGAAACATATCACATGTCCCTCTTATAACAACGTCGTTAACCCAAGCTAAATATTTTAAATCCCCTCAGTGAAACTCATCCTCAATTATTATTGTAATTTGAATGCATGATAGCTTTATTTTGAGCATTTATGTCATACCTTTTAGCTTAAAATTTATGTTCAAATGAATAGAATTTTTAGAATTGTCATTTTATTGTTTTTTTCCTTTTTTGTATGTAGCAATTAGTTGCATTTTTAAGTATTGCATGTACCTTAGAATAAAATGACAATAATTACTCTTTATTAATATAAGATCAAATTCTCCTCTTTGAGTTTGATTTTTAATATTGCCTAATAATGAATCAATATTGTGTTTTGTATTAGCTTGGTGGGATATACAAACCTTGACACTAAGGCACCAAAATATGCAAGACAATCAAGCTAAAACTTCATTGCATCATGTTGTGTGCCTATGAAGTAGAGTTGAAGGAACTAAACCTTCAACCACGTCCACAACCACAACTATTTCATGTGAAACAAGTGCTTGAGTATAGAACAGTTGTAGTTATCATCTCCAATCCTTGTTAAGATGCCACTAATAAAACTCTTGAATTTTGTTTTCTTGGTCACTTTTATAAACTTAACAGCATTTTTACTACTTTATGAAATACAACCATATTGTTGTGACATCAGCGACGATGGCGACGCGGTGACAGACAAGAACGCGAGAGCTATCAAAATTGCGGTAGTTCAAACAAACCCAAGACTTGCTTCTTGGGAGGGTATCACCACATGAAAATAATCAGGATACAGAACAACAAAAAAAAAAACAAACAAATAAAGTAAATACTCAAATCTTATTCATCTCTAAAAATCTTCCCCATTACAAGTATTGACTATGTATTTATAGATAAATGTAGCAATATAATAGGCTACACTCAGTAGAAGAAAGCTCTATTCCTATGCAACCATATAAACTATCAAATGGAATTAAGCTAGCCTGAAGTTAACATGTTTTAAGCAGCTCAACTCTGGTGTCATACTATCGGGGTAGGAGGAACTTCAAGCTCATAAGAAGATGTCCTGTTAACCACATTAAGGAGGCAGATTTGGTTGGCTAAACTGGTCAGAATAGGTCCACCCGGCATCAATTTGCCTACTAATCTTCAATCTCTCAAGAGTATCATAAGCAGATGGAATACTTGCGATTGTGAATGCATCTAGGACCATATGTGTTTCTTTCAGAGTCTTCTCATTCCATAAATTTATAGGCTTTGTCAAGAACTTTACATCCTTACTCGGTACTCCTACAAGCACAGCAACACCCCATCCCTCATTAACATATTCAAATGCAGAAATCATGTCATCAACATTTCCTGTGCATTCAACACTTCAATCGACTCCACCATTATTCTTTTCTACAATGACCTCTTGAATTGGGTTATCATCAGTATTCACAGGCGTATCAACACCAAACACTTCTCCAAACATGTCGTTCTCATACACGTCATACACGGACTCATTGTAAAGAGGCAAAGATGACGATTTTGGCAACAAATCTTCAAATTCTTCGAAGCTGAACTCGATCGAGGGTGGGTTGGTAGACTGACGAGGTGGCCTTTCAAACGCATCTTCGTGGGTAGAAGAGATTTGATCATCTGAGATGCCCTTGTCCTCATCATTGGTTCTCAAGGATTTAGTTAGAACGAGAGATCTTGAAGCCATCGCGGCATCATACTTGCTCCAAGCACCATTAAAGTCCCGGCCAAGGGGGCTCAAGTTTTTCCTTCGTTCAATCCTTGACAATTGTAGTTTGAGTCAGACAACTTTTTGTAGAAGATCTTCAATTTCTGCTTCTTAACGTGATCCCTACAATGTCCATCGAGAAGGCATCTTTTTTCGTTCTTCAAGAATAGAAATTAATATGGAGTCTTGCAGGTGGTATTAGGCTCAATCTGAAGCCAAGGTGAACTTTGTCTCAGTCACCCTCCACTTACGGTCCTAGGCCTTGCTCACCTCCAATTTTCTTGAACCTAGAACCCAATTTCCATGGTGGAGGAGGAATCTTTAGCTGTTGCGGAGTTGGTTGGCTGCGAGGGAGAAGAGGCTTCACTGTCGGTGAAGGAAACAAATAAGGCCGATTCACCACTGAATCAGTTCCGCCATCGAGGCCTTTTCGCCACCAAAGTCGATTTGCCACCGAAGATCAGGGTGGGATGTTTGGACGGATTTGAAAACCAGACAGCAGCAAGAATCTGGTGATTAAAAGCTCTTCTAAATTGCTGTCTTGAAGTCCGCACACACGAACAATCTCCAGAGAACATAAGCTCCAAAGCTATATCGCACTGATATGGATACGACGACACGGATATGACACGATACAGATACAGGACATGCCAACTCTTAAAAATGCAGGATACGGGTACGGCGTGGATACGACATTATAATTTATAAATCATATATAAAAATTAAGAAAGTAATCAAAACATAAGATTTGAAATTACAAAAAAATGAAAACAACATCATTTGTAGCATTTTAGCTCATAATATTAAAATATAAGTAAGCATTAAGTGTCTAGTATAACAACAAAAGCATAAACATAAATTGTCTAGCACATGAAGTTTCAACTATTCAATAGAAGGAATAATATGATTAGCTTCTTCAATGGTTTGTCTTTGAACTTTTACATCATCTTTAATAAATATCATAGCTTCTAATTCAGACTCATCAAGTGAAAGATAAGCAATTTTTAATATTCCTATATCATCAAGAGACTCAAATTCATTTCAAAAATGACAAAACCTTGCTCGCAGCCGCGGAAGTAAATACAATGCGTCTTTTTTTTCGGATTTGTTTTTGTTTTTCAATAGACACGCGTATCGTATATGTGTGTTCTTTTGAAATTAAATAGTATCTTAATTGGATGCGGCTTTGCCGTATTTGACACGTATTGGTGTCGTATCCGTGTATCGGTGTATTGGATACAACACGCCTTCATAAATAAGTGTATCAGTGCAACATAGCTCCAAAGAAATTTCCAGAGAATGAACATACAAGAACAAAGAAACACACAAGAACAAAGAGAAGGTGGGTTGTAGATGATGCCAATCCGGCGACTTGAAGCTTGGTGACCAATGGTTTTCCCTCTCCAGAGTTCCTTGGACAAGTCTTCAACTTTCTTCGTCGGGCTTCACCACCTGATAAAATCTCAGGATATAGAGAGCAGAGGCAGAGAACAGGGAAAAACATGAAACAGTGCACAAAGCAATCATCCATGAAGCAAGATCCGTATCGAAAGAACAAAGGAAAGTGGCTAGAAGTTTTGGAACCAGATTTGGCTCTGATACCAAATGACGGTGGTGACGCGGCAACGGACAAGAATGTGAGAGCTGTCAGAATCAGGCATCTCAAACAAACCCAAGACTTGCTTCTTGGGAGGGTATCACTACTTGAAAATAATCAGGATACAAAAAAAAAAGGTGTAAATACTCAAATCTTATTCATCTCTAAAAATTTCCTCTATTACAAGTGTTACTATGTATTTATAGATAAATGTAGCAATATAATAGGCTACAATTAGTAGAAGAAAGCTATATTCTTACACATCTATATAAATTGAATCCATTTGGCAGTTTATATGGTTATGTAGGAATAGATTAAAATAATAATATATGATTGTCAATGGAAGAACTCAATTGCTGTAAGTCTCAATTTGAAAGTGAAGTGAGTAAAAATTAGTGAGATAATTAATTTTGAAATAAGAATATTTAACTTTTAACTATATTAAAATTTAACAGTTAATGCCATAATTGTAATTATGATATGACAAATTAGAAGCATTCAATGTTATATAGATGATACCTGACGCATTTAATGTTTTCTTTAACAATATAAAATTAATGCAATACTATCTTGATGACATTTAATTTTATAAAGTTGATTAGCAATAATTGATGCAACTTTGCAACAGTGAAGGATTCAAATCGTCGAGCTAAGGCAATGCACTAAAGATAATAAGAGTTCTTCCAAAAAGATTAGACAAGAGATACTTATATGTTAATGCAAAATTTATTCAAATTTATTGGAAAGTATAGTTTTAAGATAACTTTACATATTCATATAATTGTGTATGTGACTTTAGGTTGCATTAAAGAGCACTTGGTATTTGAAAGAGTGAAAATACTCAAAAGAGAAGTGGGTGATTACATTGTTTTATAGCAATTTCAATTCCTTTTGTTCATTTTAATTGTTAAATATTGTATCATGCATATGTATTTTTTTTTATATTAATTGTCTGATAAGCATTAAATTGAGTATGACTAGGTAATCAAAGCTGATATATATGTTTGTGGAAAATGATTGTGCAGATTAATAAGTATATATAATAGAAATGAAATAAATAAAAAGAATTGTAAAATGTTCACAAAAAATATTAAAAGGGAAAATGTGCATGCATGTAATTATAGTTCAACTTTTTATGGTACTAGCTGGGGATGCAACGACCCGTGCACGTTAAATGGAAATAGAAATGAAAATGAAAATAGTACCTTCATTGATATAAAATTTTACTGTGTTCATGTGCTAAATGAAAATGTGAAATTAATAAAAAAAATAAAATGAATGAATTTTATTTAAAGAATAAATTTTAAATCTACATTTATATTAAATATTCGTATGATTGTGAACTAAAAAATCTCAGACAAATGAACATGAATACTCATATGCATGTTTAATTGCCATAATATGAACTGTAATGATCCACTGAGTTTATTACATAACTCAAATGATTAAATTTAAAATGTCAGGTAAATGTCTTGTGAATTAAATAGATGAAAGATAAAAGTTTGTCTGTAGAAGAAGATGGTCAATTATTAACAAGTAAATTTGGTTTATTATATGTTTAAATAAAAAATTTTGTTTAAGTGGTTCTTCAGTTATATGTTGAATGTTAGTCTATTAAATGTTTTATATTATATGAATAATTGTATTTATCATCCGACTATCTATTCTTGTCTCGTTAATTCGAGTTTTCGGACCGGGTCATTACACCTACATTTTTTTAAGGCGCGGAATATTGGCCATAGAAAAGAAATATAAAATTAAGTGTTGCAGATATGAGGATGCTTAGGTGTATGAGTGACTTTACTCATAGAGATAGAATGTGAAACGTGTATATACATGAGAAGGTTGGAGTGGTGATGCAACCAAAAGCTCCCAAAACAAGTGGGAGACCCTTGGTCACAAAAAAGAAACAAAATAAAAATGAAAACTAAGTCTCCACAATAAATTGGAGACTGCAACATAACTTTGTAAAACAGAACTTTACTTTGATAACTTGAAATGACATTACAATGAAACTTACAAACTTATAACATAAAACGACACATACGACTTTATAAAAATAACATCTAAAGGAGCTTTCATTCGTCACTTTGAGAAGAAAGATACATATGGTGTCGAACTTGCGGAGAGAAGAAGGAGATAAGAAGCCGAGGCGAAGAGAGGGCAAGCTCGCAAGCTTTCCTAGAAGAAGATGAAGAGAAGAGGCATAGCTCGCAAGCTATCCTAAAAACCCTCAGGTTTTCATCTTCCAAAATAAGCACACAACACTCTATGACAACTTGGAATGACCCTTACAAATTTATAAAATAAAAACACAATTCAAAACAAATCCTAAACTTGCATTCCATCGCTTGAGAAGAAATATACAATTGACGTTGAACTTGAGGAGAGAAAACAGATTTAAGAGGCCGAGATGAAAGAGAGGACAAGCTCGAAAGGTTTCCCAAGGAGGAGAGAAAAGAAGTGGAACAAACTATCAAGCTTTTCCAAGAAAAACCCTCATGTTTTTGCTCCAAAAATCTCATCATAAGCTCTCTTTTTTTTAATACAAAACATCTAATATTTATAGGAAAAAAGGGGCAGCCAAACAACCCAAAATACCCTTAATTAAGTCATTAAAACAAGGGAAAACAAAAGTTCAAAAGTCTGTCCAGAAACAACACTCAAACAGTCACAAAGGGGGCTAGCATTCACTCCAGAGCAACACCCGAAAAGCCACATAGGAAACCGAGAAAAGCTGCCACGGGACAGGCAACCAGGGGAGGAACCGAAGGGGTAGCACAGGGAATGAGAACCAGTAGCCAGGGAGATCGGAACAGGCCACGGGAAGGAGAATCAGGGGGAGAAAATCAAAGGGCCAAAGGCTAGGGGGAATGAACCAAATAAATCCTCATTTTATGAGCTAAAAAGAAAGTAAACTACCCATAAAATAGGCTGAAAAACAGCAGCTCAAGCATTAATGAGCTGATTTTAAAAGCTTACCAAAAATTAAAACCCAAAATATTTTGACACAACTTTTGCTTACATCAATTTTTTCCTGGTTGAAAGAGCTCATCTCCTGATGATGCTTGAGTTTGTTCTTAAGGCATCGCATTTAGCTCTTGAATTTTGGTTGCGTACTTCTTTAGGATCTCATCTTGTTCTTGCTTAAATTGTTGTTGCAGACACTTCTTTTTCTTCATATATTGCTCCGTACACATATGCATCTTTATCTATAGCTTGTATAACTCATTTTGTAAGGGATCTGTTAAACTTCCTTTTGATGAAATTCACCTATCCCTTGGAATATTTTCTTCAAAATCTTATGGCTGATTATCTTTTACAACTGACTCAATATTTTTTTCTTTTTCCAAATTGATGCAAGAAAAAAAATTAGAAAAACTCTAATTTTTGCAAGCAAAAGAAAAGACTTCCTAAGAATATAAGAAAATACACAAAATACTCAAAAATAGATAAAATACGACATTTAAAACAAAATACAACTTTTATAGGATAAAGACAACCCTTACAAAATTATGATATAAAAACAAACACCTAAACTTGTTTTTCTTGAATCGAGAAGAAATATACAATTGGCGTCGAACTTGCGGAGAGAAGAAAGATGTAAGAAGCCGAGACGAAGGAGAGGACAAGCTCGCAAGCTTTCCTAGAGGAAGACGAAGAGAAGAGGCATAGCTTGCAAGCTATCCTAAAAACCCTCAGGTTTTTATCTCCAAAAATTAGCACATAACACTCTCCAAAACAGCCACAAACATCTCCTAAATATAGGTGAAAAGGGGCAGCCAAATAGCCCAAAATATCCTTAATTAAGTCATTAGAATAAGGGAAAACAGAAGTTCAAAAGTCTGTAAAGAAACATCACTCAAACAGTCACAAAGGGGGCCAGCATTCACTCCAGAACCGAAAAGCTACACAGGAAACCGAGAAACGCATCCAGGGGAGGAACCGAAGGGGTAGCATAGGGAATCGGAACCAGCAGCTAGGGATATCGGAATAGCCATGGGAAGGAGAACTGAGGGGGGGGGGGAACCCCCCCCTTTGCCTACATCAAGTGGCTGATAAGATCAGAGAGAGTCTCCTTAGATGGTTTGGTCACTAAAACGTCGATCATCCAATGACTCGGTTAGGAGAGTAGATGTATAAGTGCCAGCCTATATTAAGAAAGGTAGAGTTAAACCTAAAAACACTGGGTTTACAAAGTATTAAAAAAGTCATTTTTTATTATATTTAAATGCCAATCTAACTCTTAACATAACACAATGAAAAAAAATGATTCATATAGTCGAACCTGCGTAATGGAATAAAGGCTTATTATTGTTGAGTAAATTAGATTTTAATAAATCCTTTGTTATAGACTGTTTGAAGTATAATAATACTTCAAAATATTTATTTTTAAAACTTTCTTTCTTTATATTCATTTTATATAATTGTCAGTTACATTTAATGTAATTTTTTTTCTCAATTTATCATAGGATTTTCTTTAGCAAATTCACTGTACAATTTGCTAGCACATTGACTTATCCCTGTACTTTCTGATGGATTTGTTGTACTATGTGGCAGTTGTATGGTTATATAGTATGTACTCTTATCTTTTTTTTATAAGGGATCACGGGGTGGCATTCCTTCCGCCAGCCCAAATGAGGAGACTATTGAAGTTGGCCATTTACTTGTACCACCTCATGTTACTAGAGCATTAGATGAAGATCCCATGTACTTGAGCTCAAAAAGTTTGGAAAATTGTTTAAATGTGGGAGGAACTCCATGCAGTGACGGGTACTATGACCAGGGAAATGATTATGGTATGCTTTTTTTATTTTTACCAAACTGCTTGTTTTTTCCTAATACCTTCAAATATGAAATGCTAAATGAAGATTGAGTTACTGTTCCGAATTGATGTTTTATGTCAATTGCCCGATAAGAATGTTTAAAAAAATCTTTCTATACCATCTACTACAATGAATGCCAGATAGAGTAGCTTCATAGAGTAATAATGCTTAGATTCTTCTTTCTTTACGATAGGATGGCTGTTGTATTTAAAAATTGAAGAATTTATTCTTGAAAAGCAACCTATACGATAACTCATAAGCAGTAGATAGACTGAAGTCTTTATATATTTTTCCTCTAAGTCTGTATATTCATATGGTTGGAAGTCCCCATGCCAATGTCCTAAGAATTTGTTTGATATGCTGGATAACGCACTTTACTGATCTGATATGCATTCATTTTAGTTTCTCTCTTTATATTTTTGGTTTATACATGCATCCATGTTTGACGAACTAGTACAATAGTAGTTCCAAAAAATAGATATTTCTTTTTTCTCTGCTTAATTAGGATATTTGCATGTTGGTCTTTCTATGCAGGCATCTTGGTTGCTGATGCTGAACAAGTAGAGATTCAGGCATTAAAGTATGAAGTATGTTTCTATGTAGATGTTTTTAAAATATATAGTCGGTAAACATTGGAACCTTTGTATTTCTAAAGAAACATTCATAAAAATTGCATACATGTGGTTTATTCTGAAATAACCCTCATCAACAACGATCATGCATAATTACAAATAATGAATTCGGTTACTTGCTTGCTTGATGAATGAATGACTGAACATGCATTATTTCAACTTAAGCAAAATGATTGACTGTGCAGAACTTAAACGATTGACGGCTCTTTCAAATATTGAAGTTGTTTGGTGTCAGTTGATGTACAATCTCTGTTTAGTTCTACTTGAGAATTCATGGCGCAGTCATCTTTATAAAGCTATGTGATGTGAAACATAAAGCAGTTGTAGGAATTACGTGGAAATTATAAAAGTTATTAAGCTTGCTAATTAAAATATAATGTTTCGCAAGAATAGATTCTAGGATTTCTCAGTTAAAGATCTTATAATAGCATGCAGTTACAATATAGAGTAGGGAGAAAATAAAATAAGAAAGAAAAATATTAAATGCTTAATTGTCAATCACAAGAATCCACCGGTTAACAACTAGAATGATCGCCTTGAGTTTCCCTCACTCATACTATTGAGCATTTTCAGCGGAAGAATAATTGATACAATATTAACGATGCCACCACAAGACAGTAGGCATTTATAATATTGCCTAATGAAGAGTTATTCGGAGAGGAGGTAGCTGATGGATGTTGGAGGATTTGTCGTTGAACAGGAAGTTGATGTTCGTCGATGGTGGTTGTTAAGGAAAAAAAGATTCGATCGATGCAATCTTCGACGGAATGGTCGATCTCAAAATTGATGTCGAAGAAGGGCGACCAATGAACATCCACTCGTCCTTGAGGGTCGAATACAAATCCATGATTGTTCTCGGGGTCGGTCATCCATGGAGAGTGAAAGTTCCTCCAATTTCGGGAGGTGCCTAGGGTAGTCGGCGGCTTTTATGGAGAAAGAGGAGGGGTTCAAGAGAGGCTATAAGAATTAGAGAATTAAATCCAATAATTATTCCAGAGTTGGGTAATTAATTGGTGGAGTTAATAAGAAGAGAGAGAGGAGAGAGTTGGGTAATTAATTGGTGGAGTTAATAAGAAGAGAGAGAGGAGGGAATTCAAAATTTGAATTCCCAAAAGAGTGGGAGGGAGGGGCGGCCGGTTCTTAGAAGGGGGAATTGATTGGGGTTTAATTAAGAAGGGGCTATAAGTGGAGAGAGAGGGGCGACCCAATGATGGGGCTTGATTGGGGTGAATTGATTGACTTCTATAATTGGAACTTTAAATTAGGAAAGGATTTAAGGGCCTTTTAAAATTTAAAATTCAAATTAAATTAATGGAGAGAGCTTTCTTAATTAATTCAAATTATGAGGAACAATTTGAATATCAAATTAAATTGAAATTTGAAACTCAAATTTTAGGTTTTCCCAAAATAACTTGAATTAAATTAGGAAAGTAATAATGGGCCAATTTAAAATTAGAAAAGGAAGGGGATGGGGAAACCGAGAGCCCAGACACTTCCTGCGGCTGGCAGGAATTGCTTTACCCTCACTTGGGGACTTTTTCTCTCTCTAGATCTCTCAACACTCATGAGAATAAGAATACAGAAATTTCTTATTAATCATCATCACCTCTTACAATAGCAAAGGCCTCCATACATAGGCCTCAAAATAAAAGAGACTTAAAGACTAAAATGTTTTCTGGGCTACAACACAAACTAATCCCGCATAGGGGTACAATGGTAAAAATTAAAACATAAGCACAAGAAATACATAAAATCCATCATAAATAAAGAGTCCTAATAGTAGCCGTTGATCTACGATTCCTCCTATGATAGATGTGCCAGAATATCCTGCTGATCTCCTCATCATGCTACCCAGGTGGGAGAAAATTCGACCCTGTTGAGTTAGCATCATGAGTGCCTTCATACAACTCTAGCATATTGGGATTCAATCTCTGTAGCTCATCACGATCAATCCATGTGTCTTCCGTCTCCTTTTTTTTTCCATTGAACTAAATACCTTTGGAGCCCACCCTCTTTAGTGGAAATGATTTCATCATTAAGTATTGCTTCAATTTTATTCGCATTAGATAAAGAATGGATATTTGGGGGTGGAGGTAGGCTATGGTTCTCACCGGGTAGGGTTACACAAGGCTGAATATTTAGGGGATTTGTGGGGTTAAACTCTGGTCCGTCAAAGACTACTAGATCTTCGATGTTAAATGTATGATTCATGTTGAAACATTCTGGTAGTTCTAGCACATAAGCATTACTATTTATTTTTGATGTCATTTTAAAAAGTTTCGCACTTTTAGCATGTAGCTTTTTAACGGTCCCTTATGGGAACCGGTTCTGGACGAATCCGTACCGGTACAAAATCTTCAACATCGAATTCCTTAAATCTTTTCTTATGATATGCTTTAAGTTTATAATTAGCATTGCTTTGTTCAATCTTTTTATTAATTTCCTTGTGCAATTCCTGGAGACGCGATGCAAATGCATATGTAGACTCAGATGTTCTCGTCTCTCTAATCCCTTTTGTTCTCTAAGTTATGTCTTAATTTTATAAAAGTAAGAGTTGTTTCTCTTGACTGATTTCTCTTTGTGCCTTGCTCTATATTGTTTGCATCACTGTCTATGTTGGTACCCATATACAATTTCAACGAGACTTGGACCCATGTTTCGATTAACAAGTTGTTATGAGCGAATTCAGTTGTCGGAAGCTTAGAGTCCCAATCTCGAACGTGTTCTCCTACAAAAGTTCTTAAGAGGTTGCCTAAACTTATATTAACTACTTATGTTTGGCCATCCGTTTGGAGATGAAAAGTTGTGAAAAATTACAGTTTGGTACCCATCTTATGCCACAAAGTCTTCCAAAAATAACTAGTAAATTTGACATCTCGATCAGACAGTATGGTTTTAGGTCATCTATATAACCTAACAATTTCATCGAAATATAGTTTTGCGATTTGAGAAGCATCAAAAGTGTTGGTACAATGAAGGAAATGAGCAATTTTGGAAAAATGATCAACTACCACGCATAAAGAGTCATGCTTTTTAAAAGTCTTTGGTAGTCCAAGGATGAAATCCATTCTTACATTCTGCCAAGGGCAATTGGGGACTAGGAGGGGTGTGTAGAGACCAATATTCTGTTTATGTTGTTTAGCTAGCTGACAAGTGTGACCCATTTTCACCAGTTTACTAACATCATGTTTAAAACTAGGCCAGTTAAAATGATGTTCTATGGAGGCAATGGTTTTCGTTCGGCCAAAATGCCCGGCTTGTCCTCCAGCGTGTAATGCCTAAACAAGAAATTCTCGAATGGACGTGTTGGGTATGCAGAGCTTTTGCGATTTGAATAAATACCTATCTTCAATAAAGAAATTATTAACTATTGGTTCACCTCCAGTTGTCAGTAAAGAATATATAGACAGTCTTTATAATTCTCCTTAATACTCTCGAATCCAATTACTTCAGCCCTCATTTCTCGAGTTATCATCATACGACGACTTAACACATATGCCGCTTTATTTTTAGTACATGCTTTGTGTCTGATCGTATAGATATATTCTTGTAAAAATTTGACTCAACAGTCATATTGGGTATTGAATTTCTTTTGGGAGTGTATATAACACAGGGCCTTATAATCAGAGAAAATGACAAATTCTTGCGGGAGCAGGTAGTATCTCAAATACCTAAGAGACTGAATGATGACATAAAATTCTTTGTCATATGTGGAGTATTGTTGTCTAATGTCATTTAATTTCTTACTGAAGTGGGCCACAGGATGTTCTTCTCGGGAAAGGATTCCACCAATACCAAGGCCAGAAGCATCACAAGTTACCTCAAAAACTTTAGAAAAATCGGGTAGATGCATGACAGGGGCTTCTATCATTCTCTTCTTGATCTCTTCAAAAGCTTTAGAGGTAGATATGGTCCAATGAAATTTGCCCTTTTTCAAACAATCAGTTATTGGGGCAACAATGGTGCTAAAATTCTTAATAAATCTCCTATAGAATGTGGTCAATCTATGAAAACTCTGAACATCCCTGATATTCTTAGGTTCAGGCCACTCATTAATTGCACGCACTTTTTTGGGATCTGTTGATATCCTTTGGGATGATATAATAAATCCTAAGAAGGTAACACTATCCATGAGAAATGTACATTTCTTAGGATCTACAATAATTGTTCTTTCCTCGAGACCTCATAAACTTGTTTTAGGTGATCTAAATTTTGTCCAACCAAATTACTTTAGATCAAAAAATTGTTGAAATAAACTACCACAAATTTTCCTAAGAATGAGCGGAGGACTTAAGTCATAACCCTCATGAAAGTGCTAGGTGCATTGCTAAGGCCAAAATGGATGACCATCCATTCATATAGATCATCAATTCATTTAAACCATCCTTAGTCTTAAATGCCATCTTCCATTCATCACTAGGGCAACTCCTCATTTGGTGATATCACTCTTGAGGTCAATTTTTGAAAAGAGGATGGCTCCAGTCATCACATCATATCATCCAAACGGGGAATGGGAAAACGGTATTTTACCGTGATTTTGTTGATTGTGCGACTATAAACACACATTCTTCACGAGCCATTTTTCTTGGGAGTAAAAAGTGCATGAACGACACATGGGATCAGACTCTCTTAAATAAATACTCGCTGGAGTAAATCATCAACTTGCTCTTTTAATTTAGCATGCTATTCCAGATTCATACGCTAGTGAGGCAGGTTGGGTAAGGAAGTTCCAAGTACTAAGTCAATGGCATGTTGGTTGCCCTTCAAAGAGGGAAGTTGATTGGGCAGATCTTCAGGGAAGACATTAGCGAAAGTTTCAAGGAGAGGTTTGACCTCTTTCGGGATTGGTTCTATCGTTCAATTATCGCTACCCTGGCTACCAAGGCGTACGTGGGTGACCCATGACTAAGTTCAGCATCTAAATCTTTTGCAGTCAGGAGGTTTAGGCCTTGGCT